GCAAAATCATTCGGCAGCTTCGTATCGAGTCGCTGTTTGCAATGAGATAGGGGCAGGAACGAGACGTGAGCCTCCAAGAGCGTTCGCGTTTTACCGCAAGGCTGCTTCGCTTGGCGACACATCAGCGATGTACAAGCTTGGAATGGTCTTACTGTCGGGAGGGCTTGGGCAACCGATAAATCTTCGTGAGGCAGTTGCATGGCTACGGAGGGCTGCTGAGCAGGCGGACGAGGACAACCCGCATTCCTTACATGAACTTGGCTTGTTGCACGAAAACCCCGACTCCCAAATTGTTCCCTATGATCCGTTGTATGCCAAGGACCTATTTACGAAAGCGGCGCAGCTGGGTTACACGCAGTCCCAATATAAACTCGGGCAATGCTACGAATATGGATCCCTGGCATGTTCAGTCGATCCTCGAAGATCGATTGGTTGGTACACCAGAGCAGCGGAAAAGGGGGATGCTGAGGCCGAGCTCGCTCTCAGCGGGTGGTATTTGACAGGAAGCGACGCTGTCCTCAAACAGAGCGACTCGGAGGCTTATTTATGGGCTCGACGAGCAGCAAACAAAGGTTTAAGCAAGGCCGAGTACGCTGTGGGTTACTATGCTGAAATTGGCATAGGTGTCAAACAAGACATCGAGCTAGCAAAGAGGTGGTACATGCGTGCGGCGGGTGAGTCCTGCGTTCGACTTTCGGCTTATCAATCATTGAGTTTTTTGTAAAGCGCAAGGGAATAAGCGAGCGATGAACCGGTTAACAGAGTTAAAACGCATGGGCAATCGACGAGGTGTAACAGCCAGACCGACCCGACAACAGGCTAAGGACGAATGTGTTGTTTGCTAACATGATACAACTACATTCATTGGACGAGAAAAGACTTGGCCATTTCTCGCTTGTCGCAATGAGCACGCTTATAGAGTGCCGACACCTTTATACTATTGCTCAGTTACTTTTGTGCCATTGTTCGTTGATTACATTTAGGTCTTTCGTACACTGGGTCTGCAATTAATTCATGCCCTTTATGATAATACTCTGAATGGTGGAATACTTTTCAGCCCAACATATACTCCGAGTAAAGGAACTTCTGAACAGTTCTCTAATGCAGAACAAGTTTTTACAACTATTGTTAGGATTAGTGTTCTTAAATAAAGGTCAGGCCAGGCCAGAGCAGAGCACTTTTCCACCTGACCCTGACCTGGCCAGGTCGGGATTTTCTAAATCTTTGCAGACCTTGACCCGACCACTGTGACCTGCTGCTGATCTGACCCAAGCAGGTTAGGCCAGGGTCAACCCGGGGTCCACTCCCCTGTGGAACCCACACTAGTTAGGTGGATACCTGGGTAGGAGGTAGGGCTCACCACGAGTCCACCCGCGGGTTGAACCGGACCCGTTGGCGGGTCACCCGTGACAAAAAAACCTCGACCCGGACCCGTCTCGACCTGGATCCGTTGGGACATGGATCCGCGGGTCCTCAGAAACCCGTGGGTGCGGGTCAAGCAGGTCGACGGTTAGTTCACGAGTCCTGACGGGTTTTTGCAGCATAAGCCAAATGCGTCAGTCCAAATTGCAACGGTAAAATAAGAGCATGGTTAAACCGGAAAACACGTACACCAGTCCTGCCAGATGAACATGCTGGCGGTCAGGATGAAGCGCTGCCCGCCTGCCGCGGGCACCTCGAGCACACACACATGGCCAAGCGAGACGTCGCGCACGTCGAACCACGAGACCTGTACCTTCGCGAGCTCCTCCGGCGTCTTCTTCTGTGTCAGGATCGCCTCGTAGAAGAGCACGACACTGCTGTTGAGCGTGGCGGGCGAGGCGACTTTGTGCAGAATCGGGTTGAAGACCTAGTAGACGGGATTAGAGGACTCGGAGAACAGAGGGAGGACATACGAAGGGCGGGTTCAGCGCGACGAGTCCCACGAGATCTCGGACTTGTGCTGCTCGACGAAATCCCACGTGGCTGCATGCTCGTCAGCGTTCTGCCAGACGGGGATCTCACAAGGCAAACGCACCCTTCTCGGCAAGCGCCTTCGACGCGCGGTACTTGGCGGACTGCGATGCGGTGCAGCCCTGCTCGCGCACCTCGGCGGCGCTCTCTGTTGGATTATATAATCCATTGCTTATCAATCATTGATAATGTCATAAATTGTGTGCACTAGGAATAAACCCTAGACTCCTCAATGATACTCATGGCTGGATAGCTCAGTGGTTAGAGCTACCGGTATATAACTGGGAGGTCGTTGGTTCAATCCCAACTCCAGGCATTGTTTTCACTTATGTTGCTAATACTCTCCTCGTTCCACGTGCGCTTGTGGAGCTCCCCACGGTCCAACGAGCCCGTGACGGCCGCGCCCGAGGACAGCACTGCGATGTGCTGCAGCTGCGGGCCGCTGCCGTATGTGGGAGATACGGGTCAGTTGGGGACAAAAGGACGGGCGGAAGGAGCAGGGGTGTGCTTACGCATGCTTCAGCGCGGACTCGAGGATGCCGACTGTATCCTTCACGGCGGCCCAATGAGCTCGTTCGGGTCGTCCGCGCTAAAGTGGAACGGTGACGCGGTGTGCGTGATTGCGTCGACGCCCTGCACAGCCGCGTTGAACGCGCCCGGCTGCGTGATGTCCGGCACCTCCATGATCTCGAGCTTGTCCACGTACGCCTTGAAGAGGCTACGGACGTGCGTGGCCTTGCTCTCCGCGCGCACGCTGTACCCGCGCTTGAGGAGGTCCTGCATGAGCCACAGCGCAATGAAAACCTGTGAACTACCCGCAGGAATTGAAAAATTACAAATTCTCGACCCGGACCCGTGACAACCCGTTTCCCACAGATCACCCGTTGACGGGTGATCCGTGAATACGGATCTGTAGTCCGGGTTTGGTCACGGATCTCCACGGGTTTTAAGGACTCGTGGTGAGCTCTAGTAGGAGGCACCTGGTTTACCTGCGGATCCCACACTGTCTTACCTAGTTAGGCGCGTACCTCAGTAGGAGGTGCCTCGCTAGTTAGGTTACTTATCCTCTAAACTGCCTACACCACCGTTACTACCTCAGATAACTCTTGGGGACTTGAGTTGTGCATAGGCCTGGAGCATGCTGGTCACCAGCCACAGTATTTGTTGTCACCGGTGACCGTTGCCACCCCATCACCACCATCATGCTTTGATGCTGTGCTCCACATTGGCCCACCCTCCACTTCATCTTCCTTGGCTTCTCACGCTGCCAATCACGCGAGTCTTCCCACTGATCACACAACACAGTCCGCATGCTGGCGTGCTCAACATCGCCAACGACAAAGACGGCTATCCTGCTCATTCCTGCTCTGTTTTGCTTCATTTCTTTTGCATTGTGTGGCATCTACCGAGCATCTTCTTGTTGGAATTTCTGCGAACCCTCAAAAACTGTTTCGGGGTAATGGACAAATCGGGTAGATTAGTAAGCGACTAGCATATAGGCCGACTGTCTGTAACTGTTGAGCGCAATGACCGGGTAGGGGTGAAAAGCCTCAACACCTGGCAATCAGACTGTGTCCAATGGATGAGTGTGTGAGGCGAAGTGGTCTCACAACAAACACAGACAGTGACCTGAAGCGCGCAAGGAGTCCAACCGCATATGAGATGTCAGGACGCGTTGCCACAGCCAGATACATGAGTGCACCAATCAGCTGCCTGTAGGGGACAGTCTTCATGAATGCGATCTCTTCTGGAGTGAGGGGCCCATGGACTTGCTGAGACGATGGCCTTCTGGTAGTGGAGTGGAAACCTCGCCGCATCCAGCCATTTCAAAGTGCTCAAGTAAGTCAGTGATGTACTGGCGCTGAGATAGGGATAGGGATCGGATTGAGCGGTCTCTCTCAATATGGACGCCAAGCAGGAAGGAGGTAGGGCCGAGGTCGCACAGTTTGAAGTGCTTTTCAAGTTCGCGCTTGACAAACAAGAATTGCTCCTTTGCAGCAATGGTCATGTCATCCACATAGACTGGAATGATGATGCGCACGTCGTCGCGTCTGTAGACCCAAATGCTGTTGTCGCAGCGAACCAAGGAGAAGCCCATGCCCTTCAACACAGAGTCGAGTTTCTTGTGCCATTGGCGCCCAGCTTGCTTAAGACCATAGATCGCCTTAGCAAGCTTAAGCACAAAGTCAGCGCCATAGTACTCCTCAAACCCTTCTGGCTGATCCATATAGACGTCATGATCCAAGTCACCATTGAGAAACGCAGTGGAGATGTCAATGCTGAACAACTCCAGGTCCTCAATTGCAGCCAAGGCAAGTATAGCGTGAAGTGCAGCCCACTTGGCAGTAGGAGCAAACACCTGTGCAAACTCTAAGCCAGGGCGCTGTGAGTAGCCCTTTGCCACCAATCGCGCCTTATGCCTGTCCACTGAACCATCTGCCTTGCGCTTGAGTTTGAACACCCACCGACAGCCAATGGTCTTACGACCAGTAGGAAGTCTGACTGGGGTGAAGGTGCCATTCTCAACAAGACTGATAAACTCGTCCATTGCAGCCTGTTCCCAGAGGGAAGCGTCAGGACGTCCCTTGATGTCTCTCCAGTGTACTGGCTCAGGACCATACTGGGTGCGCACCTCCGCAGAGAAGACATGCTCAAAGCAGTTTGTAGACTTCAACACATGATTGTGTGCGTCCTCAAAACTGATGTAGCAGTCCTCAAGTGCCGCATTTGCCCCAAAGTCCATAAGTCCAGCAAACATAAGCACCTCAGCCTGCATCTCATCCTCAGACATGATGTCTAACTCGTCACTGCGCTCAATCACAGGCTCAGGTGTAGGTGCTGCTGCTGGTGCTGGTGCAGCTGGAGCCCTAGGAATGCGACGACCTGGATAATCTGCAAGTGGATTAATCACTGCATCTCTGTACCCATGCAAGGGACGCGGCTGAGGGCGCCAAGACGTTGAAGGCCAAGAAGGCACTTCAGGTGCAGGTGTAGACTCAGGTGCAGGAGTAGAAGCAGGAGGTTCCTTAGGTCATTTCGCAGGAGGAGGGTGAGCAGAGGGAGAGGACACAGGAGGGTCAGGAGGGACATCAGATGGTGCTCGCTCGCGCTTTACAGCAGGCCGAGTTGGAGTCACTGGAGGTGGTGCAGGGCGAAAAGGAGGAGTGACTGGAGCTGGTGGAGGACGAGCAGGAGGAGTGGCAGTGTCATGACCCATGACATAAGCTTAGCTAATGATGGATGATGTCAGCAAACTGGCCTCATCCCTGAAACTAATTTGCATGGAAGCTACTTTGCGCAGAAGTTTGTGCCAACCCTGAAACTGGTTTGCATAGAAGCTCATAGAAACTCATAGAAGCTACTTTGCGTATCTACTCCTTTGCATAGAAACTGACCAGTTTACTTTGCTTGCAAACTATAGTGCAAACTACTGTCTCTAATATTAGCTGCCATGTATATAAGCTGGGCCCTGGGCACCAGGGAACAGCAGAATTGTTAACTCGTGTTTTACCTGCTTATAGTCTGCTATAACTTGAACTCAGAACCTAGATACTATATTTGTTGCGACATCTTTGGAACACTAACCTACACCTGTGTTTCTAAGTATCTCACCTGATTCAGTCCACACACTCTATCCTGGTCAAAGCGTAGGCAACAGCTCTCATCCTGTTTAGTCTTCCTAGGCGACTCTTTAGATCTCACCTAAGCCAACACTGTTCAAGATATATCTGGTAATTATTACTCTTGTGATTACTAATCCTTTTGTATAGGTAGGATCCTCACAGTTTAACAATTCTCCAACTACGTCTTTGATCTCTATTGGTACCAATCAATCAACCCAACCAACCAACCAATCAATCAACACAACCAACCAACTTATCAAACATCCAAATCTATTCAATCAAGCATGGGTAGAGCAGGACAATCAGCCCCTTCAGGAACTGACAGGGCACAGACTAGATCTCAATCTGCTGATATATTGAATCAAGAAGCCGCTCAGAAAGGAAAAGAGAAGCGTTCTCAAGAACTGGATATAGATCTGCAGGACAGAATTTCATCCATGATAGAACAAGAGACAAGTGTGCAGTTCTTAGATATTAACAATAAGCTTGAAGCACACCAAGAGCAAATTAGGGGTGTTGAAGAGCAGTTAAGGGAATTACACTCAGAAATGGAGAGCACTACAGAGAAATTAGATGCAATTATGAACTTGTTGCAAGCGAAAGAAAATAGGGCTCAAAAAGATCATAGACAGCCTGATTTTGAAGAGGAGCCTTCTCCAGAGTTGAGACATCATGATGAAGAAGATGACCAGCATGATGATTGGCAACAATACCATCCATCACCACCATCTTCTATGCGTGATACCCGGCCTCCTCCTCCACATGAGCCACAGTTTCCCAGACAGCGTTCAGCCAATCTGTCACACTCTCCAAGCCCAGAAATTCAAGAACTTACTCGCACAATCTCAAACCTTCTCAAACAAACATCTACACAGCCTGGATCTAATACTTCTCAAGCTAGACCAACAAATTCTGTGACAGCAGAACTCTCAAGAGAAAAGGCTATTGATATCAAGGACCCTGAGAGCTTTACAGGGCGTGACCCAAACAAGCTAAAAATATTCTTAGCTCAGCTTCAAACTGTCTATTCAGCTAAACCTTACACCTATCTGAAGGACTCAGACAAAATCTGGTATGCTGTCTCCCGCACTACAGATATTGCCCACAAACATTTCCAAAATGCAATCATAAACATGTCAAATGGGTTATCTGCACCACCTTATATGCACTCATACTCTGATTTTGTCCAAGAATTAAAACAGTTCTTTGTTGGCTCTGACCAAGAGCGTATAGCTGAAGATGAAATAAGACAACTTGCCATGCGTCAAGGACAGCGTGTTCAGAAGTACATCATTGACTTCACAGAACTTGCTCAACAAACAGAGTGGAATGACCAAGCTTTGGCATCTCAATTTTATGCAGGGCTCATTGATTCTCTCAAAAAGGCCATTTCCACATATCCAACCGGTCGGCCTAAGACCCTAGATAGACTGAAGAGTTTGGCACTCAAGATTGATAATAGAGTTGCTGAGTATGAGCGTGAACAGCGCCTTGGAGGTCGCTCAAGTTATAATCCTCCACAGCAATCTGTGTCAAGGAAGCCTTTTGGAACTCAGCAGAACCAATCTTACTCAGAAGATCTTCCTCAAGGATCAGCCAGTCAGAATCCTCATAACTTTCAGAAACCACAGCCTCAGCCTGCAGAAAACTTAAACTCTGATGGTATCTTAAAGGAAACAGACACGGAGCAAAG